AAAAAAAAAAAAAGACCAATTAGCAATACCTGTCATGGGCATTTGAAAGTTGAATAGAACAAATGTGCTAATTATCTGCTATTCCTACCATTTCTCCTCCATTCATGCTCTCATGCCAGCAGGGCACTGATAGAATGAATTAAAAGAGAGAATAAAATAAATGACAAAGAGAGGTGTAAGAGAGCCATTCTCGACTGAAACTAAACTCTGAGGAAACCTAAATAAAAGATTAGGACTCAGAGCTCCTAATTTTGTGTCAAAGAGGTCTCCACATCACCCTGGAAAGCTCATTTCTTTTCCTTAATCACACATAACTCAAAAAAAGCAAGTCCATAACCGAATCTGTGGCTTTTTTAAGGTGGTTGTTTCTATCGTCAGAAGAAGAAAATTAATTTCTTGGCTCAAAGCAAAGTCCTCCAAACCTCTAGTGCTATATAATTTCTCATTGACTTAAGGCAGAGATGAAATTCCCTTGCCCGGCCCAACAATTTCACTGGCTTTGCCTTCCTCTAAGGACCACTTTTCTTTTTTTGTTCTCAGTAGCTTGAATTAACAAGGGAACCTTCCCATTGTACCAGCTTCCAGCTTCTTTCCTGCATCGTTGAGGTGGGAAGGAAGGACAAGGGAAAGATGGGAGTGTCATTCAAAGGAAAATCCTATTTTGGTGTGGGAGGCTGTTTCCGTCATTACTAGAACAATGTTCTGGTTCCCACAAGGAGAAACGCTTTTGTGCAAGAAACTCTTGGTGAACATTCTGTATTTCACACCCTAAAAGCTTTGAAGTCCTAATGCTGATTCTTAGGAAGGCAAATCTCAATGTCACTTATCAGCAACAAGTCTCATGGCCATTGCAAGATATTGTGCATGTTTATGCATATGCATTTCACATAGGTCAGATGCTTATGCACTTTGACTCCTTTAGTTCTGAGGACACAAATGTCTTGGTAGTGGGGAAAGTAGCAGAGTGAAGAATAAGAAGGAACAAGAGACCCTTAAAGGAAGACAAAGTTCTCAGCTTTTCCCCTCATCTCTGTGGAGCTCTGTGGCACTTTGCATATTTAAAATCACATCTGGGTTGGGTCAGGTTGAGCAGGATGACCTCCACATCAGCATTGGTTTTGATAGGGCTCTAGCACAGGGTTTGGCTAAGGCCACAGCTTACTAGATCTCAGTACAATGCTAAAATCAAAACCCCTCAGACTTAGCACATTTTACTACAAAGAAAATGGGCAGGATTTAAATGGGTATCTGTGGGTTGGACAGGATATGTGAAGGAACATTCCTAAATCAGATAGGCACCAGATATAGTCTAGCATGGCTGGCACACACTTCACCAGAGTCTGCAGGTCAGCACACATGATGCCTAGTGCAAAGGCATCACTTAATATGATGATAGTAAAGAGGCAGAAGAAGCTTAGTGACACTGTATCAGGAGCTTGCAAAGTCTGAAATCTAAAACTTATACCAAATCCCATCAAATAAATGTCAAAACTACCTAAATTTATGTCCTTATCATTCAACGAGAACAAAAAAAATCATCTATAGTGGAGGAACGAAAAATGAAGGACAGCAGTGTGAAATAATCTGAAATAATGAAACAATGTTTCATTTCCAAGTCTAGCTTGGGAGCAACTGCACTTTTGCAAAGGATGGACCTGTGCATGCTATCTGAGGCTATAAAAACTCCAATCACTGAGAAAGGATAGACTTCAAATTCCATCCTATGAAACAGAGAGGTCTTAGAGATTCTGCAGGCAGCACAATGTTCAGTGGTCAAGCCATGAGTGGTGAGACCATAAAGATAATTAATAAACAGTTGAGATATCTTCTAATACACTGAAAAGGATGTCTGCATTACCATCCCAGCTGGTGGTTGGGACAGTATTCCCAAGAAAACACTCTTTGGACTCATTTCTTCTGTGTCTGGAAAGAGAGAACCCTTTGCACATACAATCAACCTATGCTGGGCTCTGCTAACAGCAGCTTCTCCAGATAGTCTATGGAAAGGGGCTGGATAATCTATTAGGCTGTGGTTCCCTGGGCAGGGAGTGGGAGCAGGGAAGGTGCTATGATACAGTGGCTCCTTGCAGGAGGCTTTGTCTCTCCAAGTATCTTCCACCTTGTCTGGAATGGCTGGGCAGCTACACGTCATGCTATCTTTGGTGGCCAAGTGACTAATCCAGGCACAAGTTCATCAACAGAAAGAAAGGTTGGAGGAAAAAAAAACTATTGGAGATTTTCTGGGCCTTTTCCATCTGGCTTACCATGATAAATATTGTCAGGAGGAAGATGCTTATTGACATGACAGAGAAGCTGTCCAGGAACCAGGTACACCAAATCACTGTGTTGGAGACACCCTGATTTTTCAAGGTCTCTTTTAGTCGCAATTCCTTCTCCAAGACGATGCTCTTCACAGTCATGGAGACAGAGTAGATCCAGGCCAGCACCATGAAGATAGGGAAACAGCGGTTCAGGATGATCATGAAACTGAAGCAAGAGAAGAGAAGCAGAATAGCAGGATGCCCTGTACCTGGTAGAGGTGGAGTAAGTGTTCTTTGAGTAAATGTGTTGGGAACAAAGCCCAAGTGAATGGAAAGGTAGAAAAATTTCCATTGGGCATCCAATGCGCTTGAGTCTTAATACATTGCACTTTGCCCTGAAGGATTACTTTTCCTTTACGGAAAGATGGTAGCTTTTTGGTTAACCCAGATGAATGCTCTATAAGTAAAATGTCTAAATAAAATCGTACTATGTATGTTACACAGTACATATATACCTACTTGAAAGATCTCATAGGAAAAGGCTGCAGACTTGATGTGGCACGAGATTAGAATAGATAGATACATGTTAGCTGACATTGAAGTCCAAGGTGAACCATAAAGAGAATTGGTGGTGGTAAGATCAATAATGGGGCTCCCCAAGGGGGTCAGCCAGTGCAGCACTGTCTATCCTGGAGGATCAAATCCCGGTTATGCAGTATGAGGCACAAAATAACTGATGAATGTGGCACTACCAATAAGTCAATCAGTGATCCAGTAGCCACTGATCCCACCAGCCATGCACCTATGGAATAAATCCATGGATATGCATTCCAGAAAGCAGGGTAGATTTATAATCTGGAATTATTTTATGGTGAACTTTACACATGTTTTCCCTGTGCTTGCTGTGCTGGGAAAGCCCTTGGAATTCTTATCTATTCAAAGCGGTTGAGCATCACATTTAAGGCCCAATTACAGCATGGGAGGGTTTCACTCAAGATGGCCCTAGGGAGAGAACCAGACCTTCACAGAGCCTGCACTTCTGAGACCTGCCACCAGAGGGCTCTCATGCACTGAATAGCCAGAAACCCTATGGCCTCCCCGCAACTACCCCCACTTCCTTGCCAGCTACTCCCATTCTGATCCTAAAAATGGAGTTAGGCCTTTGCCCCTGGCTCCACTTCTCATCTGTGCTTATTGTCCAAACCCAAGCTGACTGCAGAACAGCCACTGTTATCTCTTTAGTCTTCTGCAGACCTGAGGAAGGAGAACCGATTGGACTAGGATGTTGAGAAGGGGTTTCCTGGGCCCCTACTTGGCTTCATTTTACTGTTTTGCCAGCTGGCAATTTGACTCTTCCTTTCTTCAGGCTGTACGTGTTTCTCTCATCCCTGAACCCTGCAGACACACATGTACACTACGGTGAACTTCCCGCTATTTTTTCTAGGTGTTGAATCCCTAAGCCAAGTGTAGGTTTCTGCCGCTGTCCTGGGAGCATTTCTGTCCCCATCCACCATGGTAAAATGAGCCCTCCCAACCCCCTCTGCCTCTCTGTCCCTTCAACTGAACATTCAGAAAACAGTAGGCTACTTGCTTAGCTTGCTACTGGCCAACAAATGTTCAGGCCTGGAGGTGGGGGTGGGCAGGGAGGGAGGACCTGAGCTCATCCAGCACAGTCCTCTACCTTTTCATTAAGCAGCATCATAGGCATGCTAATTAGGAAAGGCGCTGCATTATTCCGAGGCTCCTAGGAACCGGACCTACTTGCGATGCAGAGTCCTCATTTGCTGATTTGGCAATCATTGGGCAAACACTCTGACCAGAATCCTTCCACATACCAAACATACTACGCAGTGGAAATTTAAAGAGCCTTTGTCCCTTTCCCTAACCTCACTTCCCTTGCTTGTTAACTTTCACCTTCCTTTTTCTATCCAAAACACCAACTCCCTTCTCCCTGCCACGGCGCTTATCTATCGGGCCCTGCCTGGAGCCTGGGAGAAGGTTCCTCAGTCAGAGCTTCATTCTCCCCAAGACGGTCCCAGTCTCTGGTTTCTCTCCAAAGAGGTTGAATCCTGGGGAGCACCCCACCCCGCCCAGCCACCCAATTAACTTGTCCATAACTGGGACTGGGAGCCTCCCACTCACGAGTCATCCACGAAACAGGGGTAAGGCATCTGCTGGAGGTAAATTCCAATGGGAACCTCAGCCTGGGCCTGGCTCCTCGTGATTCCTTGTTCAACCATGTCCTGCAGGTAGGCAAACCCTCCCCAGATGTATCGGAAATCTTCCACGGGATCAGCGCGGGGACCAGAATCCCAGTACCTAAGGGGAAACCTCAGTGAGGAGCCAAGGGTGTGATGGGAATGGACGGTTCACACACACTTCACAAGCATGAGGTGACTCAGCACTCACTGTCTTGAAACCTGTCCCTAGATCTTTTCCAAGCTATCCGATTCTATTTTCTAGTTCACTATTTAAATCTCAGTTATGATTATTAGCCACAATGTGGTTTGTAACTGCTTTCGAGGACTCTGCTTTGAGCTTTACAAAATTCCTTACTTCCTCTTATTTAACTTCATTGTATTGATTTAGAAGCTGAGTCCAGTCTCAAGCCCCTACTCTGTATCAAACGTAATTTCCCAGTGACTGGAGAAACCCCACTGGCAGAATCTCTAGGTGAAGATAATTCAGTATCTAGAAGTTTCTATTTCCAAGTTGCACAAAGGCCAGCCAGGGACAAGTGCTGAGTTGAGGGTGTGAAGACAGGGTAGCTGAGCTCTCCTGGTCCCACCAACTGGTTAGTTTAGTTCTTTGATACCAGAGTGTTTCTACACCTTTTCAAGTGACTCTCCTGCCTCATACATCCCTGGGGATGCCCAGGGCCTTCTGAGATCGCCCGAAACATCACCTGTCTTTAATCTTATTGGTTTTCTCCACCACATCTATGTCCATCCGGATCTCGTACTTCACGTGCGGTGGTAGGGAGCTGGTCCAGGGATACATATCAGGGAACACCACACCAGCCCAGAACCGGTTTTCCTCCAGCAGAGACAGGGCTCGTTGTGTGAGCTGAATTTCATCATCGTAGCTTTCAAACTTGTCCAGGATCAAGCACTGCAGATAATCACAAAGGTTGAGAGGGACTCAGAACACCACTTGCAAAGACTCAACTGCAATAAAGGGCAGGCTGTTGCCCCAAGGGATGGGTCAAATGCAAGGGGACCTATAAACTTACTGTTTGCTTAACTCTGGAGTCTGGTGTCAGTTTTTCAATGTGTCTAGAGTTATGGGTGAAAGGGGGCTAGGAAATGCTGACTTGGTTTAAATCCTGCAGATTTAGTGAGGACTGTACTATCTGGCTGTCCAAGGCTGTCCAAATATGCAAGTCGTCAAAATGACAAAAATACTCACAGTTCTTACTCCCCAGCATGGGGAGTCAAGGGAGTGGGGTCACATTGAATACAGGCTGCTTTGAAGATCAGAAAGCCTGACGATAAAAGATTTTGAAAGAGAGAAAAACAGTGAACCTTCCTGCCTCTCAGCAAACACACAAGGATGGCCGGCCAAGGGAAGAATAAGGAGGAAGAAAGAAAATAACCGAAGACCAAAATGAGCTAGTCAGAGAATGATTCCCAATCACAATTTTATGACAGGTAATACTGGGAAAGAGGAATTTCCTAATGTGTCTATTTTCTCCCCCTGGAAGAGAAAAAAAAAATCATTACCCACAAAAGAGCAGAACTAAGCATTTATTTTAACTTGAATATTAGGGTTGTCCACTTTTATAGATTTGTTAAAGTAGTATATTGTATGTGGATCCGTTTTTTCCTTAACCTCTTGTTCCTATAATACACTAGGGTTATTGTGTTGCTGTTTCTTTCTTAGAATGTAACTCACAAGAGGTCAGATGGCCTTGTCTTGATTAATTTGTTCACCGAGTACTTACTGAGAGCCTGCAATGTGCCAGAGCCTGCTCGGCTCCAGGGATACAAGGAAGAAAGATAAAATCTCTTCCTGAAAGAAATTCAAGATCTAATGAAGGACAGACAGGGTTGGAATAAACCAACAACAGTAATGCAGAACGATAGCGTTCTGATGAAAGCAAGCCCAGGGTAGTCTGGGAGCCCAGTGGAGGAATGTAGCTAAGTCTACCTGGAGGGGTCCAGGAGGGCTGCCTGGAGGAAGAGACTCCTGAGTATAATGAAGATGAGCAGTTATTAGCCTACAGGAGGAAAGCAGGGGAAAGGTTCTGCTCAGGCACAGGGAATGTGGTGTATTTGGAGATTTGGAAAAACAGAGCAGTGGTTCTCATCCTTGGCTGTGCTTTAGAGCCACTGGAGAGATTTAAAAAGACACCCACACCCAGGCCCCACTCCAAGCAATGAAATCAGGTTCTCAGGAGGCAGGGCGAAATGCACCAGGGTTTTGTCAAATGCTCATCTGGTAGTTCCAACGTGCAGAGAAGTGCATAGGTGAGCAGAGCTGAGTGGTGAGAGATGAGCGCTGGAAGGTGGGTGGGGATCGGATCAGTTGCTGTGCTGGACTTCATAGTGTGACCAACTAACAGAGGGGTTTTCTGGGACATGAGACTTTCCATGCTAAAATCAAGAGTGTTCTGGGCAGGGGGCCGGCCGAGTGGCTCTGTTGGTTAAGAGCTCGCTCAAGAGTTTGAGCTCTGAGCAACAGCGGTTCGATGCCCGGCCTGAGCTGAGCTGCCACTGAGCTGCCAACAGATCGCAGGATGGCTCAGCTGGTAAAAAAAAAGGAGTGTTCTGGGCAAACCCTAAAAAGCCCTAAGTAGCCACTGTAGGGTTTTCAGCAGGGGTGTGACATATGGGATCAGATGGTGTTTCTGAAAGATCACTGGTCGGGGGAAGGGCAAACAAGAAGAGTGGTTTGGAGGCTGTTGATGTAATGCAGGTTTGAAGGAACAGATTCACTCGCACAGAGGCTGAGTTACCTGGAATCCTCATTTTACTGAAGAGGAAACTGAACACAAGGAGACCTGCCAAAGGTCAGGCAGCTAGAAAAGTGGCAGACTCTGGATTCTCTCCCCACTTTCCCACTCCAGGTCTGGACTTCTTCCCCTCACATCAGGAGCCATAGGGTTATCCGGGTCCACAGGCCCTCCCCAGTGTTTGCAACTGTCTTGTAGGAAAGTATAGTTATTATTTATCTCCACTGTGCAGTCCCGGAAACTTAGGCTCAAAGAGGCTCACTTCCCCGGTTCCATTGCTCCCACAACAGTTACCAGGAGGAATGAATAAGTGAGAAAGGTGGACCGATCGATCATAAGGACCTGACCCAAGCTCCCACTGTAGTGGTAAGAAGCGGGCAAACCCAACTCATTCACCAAAAACCCCTCACTGCTGAATCCAACCCAGGGCATCAGAGGGTCAACCAGAACCCTTTACTACCGAGCTGAATTTAAACAACAAGGGTGTTGCAAACCCACCCTCCTTGAGCCTTATGAACTAAATGTCCTGCCTCAGGCTCCAACCCCTGGGAGCCAGCCCTAGTAATGTTCTCAGTCTTCTAGATGAAAACAAAAGAAGTTGCTAGTTTTCCAGCTGATATGAGAATGAGGAATACAGGTACATGAGAAAATCTATAGGGCCAAGGCTTAAGAGACACTATACTAAGAAGATAGTTATTATAAAAGGAAATGGAATTGATAGTTCTTTAAGAAATACCAGTCAGTGTAGTCACCCATCACAGAGTTAAAGGAAATGGAAAATTTTCTTTAGTCAGCTATGCTTTTGCAAACAGGCATGCCCAGCCTAACACTGTCCAGTCCTTAAATGAGATGAAGGACTTAAGTACTGAAGGGCCTCAATAAGTGTTCATTTTTTTCTAGACAGAAATAATGTAGGATTTGCTACTTTATGCTTTTTTTTTGGTGGGGAATCTAATATGTATATTTGCGTCAAGACCAAGCTGCCACTCTTTGTCAGCACTTAACAACACTGATAGGGGGACAGAAAGTTGGAAGTTGGCAGTGTGCTGTTCGGGCAAGGAGACATGAAAATGGAGCTGTTAGAGTATATTTTTAAAAACACACACATTTATGTTTCTTTTAGGGAGACCTTGACATTCTATAAAGATGAGTAATAAGATCATCTCATTTTTTAAGTCAGTTTGGCTAGTTTAGTCCTACATATATAGAATTTTAGGGTTGACAATCAGAGTGAATCTGAAATTAAACTTGTAAAATAAAAAGCAAAATTATTTTGGGAGATGGACTTTTTCTTTGCAGTTTCTTTTAGTTGTAGCACGTTGTCACACACACACACACACACACACACACACACACACAGAGGATGGTCTACCAATTCACTCACAGCATCACAGGGCATTTGGACCAAAGGAGCTGCAGAAATCTTGTGGTCCGACATCCTTGCTTCACCTGTGAGGAAACTGGCATCAGAGGGGTGAGGGGCAAAGGGCCCCGCCCAGGGTCTGTATAGGTCATGAGCAGAATCTGAATCCATGTCCTCAAGTGTCAAGCCTGAGGGTAGTGTTGTTCCCCACATGTTGCTCTAAGAGTAAGTCACACTCTAAGCGCAAAGTCAGGTCGACAGAATTCCTGAACAGGAAGATTTCTTGCCCTAGAGTAGCACTGTCTGGAATGTCGTAGAACTTTCTGGAATGTGGCACTGTTCTCTATCTGCCCTATCTGATAGGGTAGCCAGTAACCACATTTGGCCACTGAGCACTTGAAATGTGGCTAGTGCATCTGAGGCACTGAATTTTTCACTTTAATTAATTTAAATTTAAAAAGCCACATGTGGCTGCTGGTTGCTGTGTAGGGCAGCACAGCTCTAGCTGCAGGAAGTTCCTTGAGGCCAGGGGCCACATCTGTTCACTGTGGTCTCTGGAATACTATTTTCTCATGAAAGGGACTCGATTAGTACTTACACAGAATTGAATTGATTTAAGTTTAGAAGTCCCAAATGCTGCAAGAAATACAGCTTTACAGCTGCGTGTTTTGAAAGTAATCCTGCGCACCCCAGATTCAGATGATAAACTAGGAGAAATTAGTGAAAAGCGAATTTTTGCTAAGATGCTAATAACTCTCACTGAAGCAAAAAAGCCAGTAAAAACAAATACATTTTCATAATGAGACTTTCTGAGCTGGCTAGCCCATTCTCTTTGAACTCCCCTTTCATGTCTTAAAGGGAAATCTATACGGGAATAAGCGGCTGATGTTTTCAGTGACATTGTTGAGTCCTGTGGTGACGTGGGCTCCATCCTGGCTGTTTTATCAGGCACAGCTGCCTGATTCACAGTCATGTTTCCTGCTGTGTCCCCCTAGATTGGTACCCTGATACTCTCTGGAAAAACAAAACTTAAAAGGTTTGCAAACACTCATTTCTACCCTGAAACATCTGACCCATTTTCAAAGTTCGGTTATCTTCCCCATCTTTGGAAAGTGGTACAGCGGAGCGTTTAAGAGGCAAACAGCCTCGGGGACCATCCCCACTCTGCTGCTTCCTACCTGTGTGGCCTCTGTTTCCCTCTCCATAAAACTGAGATATGCCCTACCTCAAAAGTCTGTTCAAGGACCACATGGCAGCATTTGTAAAGCCAGCCAGTGCTTCCTGGTAAGGATAAAAGCTGATGCTTATTGAAGGCTTACCATGTGCCCCAAACTTGTCCAGGGGCTTTGCTTGTATTAATCCTTTGAATTCTCATAACCACCTTAGGAAGTCGGTTACAATTATCACTCCAAGCTCACTTATGAGGCACAACGAGCCACAGGGAAAGTCCTCCGGATAGAGCCTGTGTTTTAACCACGTAGTTAAACTGTCTCAATAAATACCATTTTTATTACTGCTTTTGCAAAACATCTTGAAAGTCAACAGAGCCTAGTGGCTTTAAGCCCCTGTCAGGTTACCTTTCATTCATGACAGCTGTTTATCCAGGGAGGAAGGCAGTTATTTTCTTTAAATAATATGTCTGGGAACACAACTCATCCTGAGCTGATCCGCAGCACTGCATCTGGTTAGAACAATACTATGGACAGAAGCCAAAACCCCGCACCCCACCTGAGCAGTGGGGGAAGGGGAGAGAGTGAGTCCTAACCCACTGGTGTTCACTAGCTGCTAACGGGC